CAAGAAAGAAGTCGAATCCAGTTTTAGGTGAGACTTTTACAAGGTTTGGAAAATTTTGCTGGAATAAACCATACTTGCTCCGATCATGGACCACGTTGTTTGTAGAAGTCTTAATGTATTGTCTGTTGAATAAACACAGAAAAACTGTAAAAAGTTGCGATCTTGCAAAAAAGGAGTGGTGACAGAACCTTGAAGCGCATGCGCGTCATTCGGTCCCTCGCGGTCTGCAAGGCTTGACGCGTCAAGGTGTCGTCAATGGGTTAAACAGCCAAGCGTATTCTGACTGGCTCTGATAGCGCGTGCAGTTTTCATCTCGTGACTATGTTTAACGAGGGCATTGGCATTTGGAAAAAACGCACTGGTCCTTACACCCTATTTATCTTAGAAAAACGGAGCAACTGGGAAAGTCTAAAGAAGTTCAGTAGAGAGTAGACATCTAGGAATTTTGTATACTTTCTTCGAAGGGTTGTAGATAAAGTGATCATCGAAAAAATGCATCAGTTCTTTCCCTTGTATGAAAGAACTCTCATTGTATGGCTTATTTGAACTAAACTGAGCTACCTTGAAATTTCCTATTACAGTTGATGAGTCCTTTGGTGCCGTCACAGCTATGCACTCAATCACACTGAGTATTCTGAAATCGCCTTTGTTTTCGTTTAGCGAGTTCATCGTAGGAAAGAATTATGTGAGTTGAGTACTACATATGTCTTGAACGTAGTGCTTTACGGATGCGCCCCCGCATTCGACTTCCACTGGTGGTGGCGTAGTGAGCGCGAGTATGGCCCTCAACCGGCATACAAGTCAGTGCTTTTATCCTCCCAAACGAATCTGGCGCTAATTAACCATCCCTCGAGGGATGGAAGGCTTGGTTGGCTCAGGCAGTTACCGAGCCGGTATTCGAACCCGCAACAGTGCGTATTCGATAGTGCTCCACTTGCGCTACACCACCTCCGCCCCAGGGCGTTAACCAGATCCATGAAGTATTCTTATTGACTACTTAGTGGTCTCCAATTTTTGATACATAATCTACTGATAGCTGCAATAGTACAATATGCTCATATGAGTAATTAGGGTGCAACTGCAGAGAGAAAGAAAGCTCTTCTCTGTGGACTTTTTGACGAGCGCTTATCTGTGTTTGATTTCATTCCTCCTTTTCTTTTCATTTTCATGTTTGCATTTTGCTTCCTCTTTCTTTTATATTCAGCTGAACTCATTCCTCTCCCCCCCCCCCTTTTTTTTTATTAAGATCAGAGAGATGTTTCTCAACGAATTCATTCAATTCGAGGACAATCAAGCACAATAATTCGAAAATTTCGAAGAAACAGTTTTACGCAAAGGTCAATTGTTCATGGAGTGTAATGAAGAATAAAGAAAGTTTCTGAACACAACCGTTTTCACCCACTTGTCCAATGCCATTCCAGCAAGGACTGGAAGCCTTGGCGACATTTTACAAAGTGCCTTTTCTTTATCGGTAAGGCTGTGGTATTGAATACAGTCAGAATAATCGAGAATTGGTACCATATAAAAAACCAAAGTGATGTTCTGTAATTGTGAGCATTTAGAAAATAAACGACATAACATTTTATCATTTCAACCGGAGAGGTGCAACAAGACTTTAGAAGACCGATTCAATACGATTCGGTGCTCTCTAACAAGGTGTCTCGAACGATTTCTGTTCTTGGAGGCAGTTCATCATGTTGAAGAAATAGGTGTATAGCAGTTGAACAGTTTTTCTAGGAGATCAAACTGTAGCTCTATGGTAAGCAAATTCTTTCCACAAATAATTCTCTCAAAAGCTAAACGAAAATCTTCCTAAAATAAGTATGTTATCCGAAAGGCACAAGTATTTTTTTATTCCGGTTTCTACTTGGATAACCATTTTCTTGGTTCAAGGTTGGCCTATTAACTTACAAGCGGAACGAAATTCTCTTGATCCTAATGAATTCTCTAGAATATCTTCCGATGACTTCAGCTTTTCTCCCTAGCCCATTCCTTTTATGTGTCACCTAGTTTATCGAAGTTGATTGTCAACACCAGCACAACCTTCGATTCATATTTCACAATGTAGCACGCAATTCAATCGTAAAATAAATCTCTCTTATTTATAAAGCAGTAACTTTGTGAGTTGGTTTGTAGTCTGTGTCTGTTTGTCGGTTCGCCGGTTTGTCGGTCTGTCCGTCAGCAAAACTTCATGATTACGGTATAGGCAGTGATATAGAAAACCCAGCCCTCACATTTCCTTCTAATATATAAAACTGTAAATTGGTGGGTAGGTTAATGGAGTAGAGTGAGTACTGCGAAGTGGAGTGAGTAATGTGAAGTGGGTACTACAAAACTGTGATTTTGATCTGTACTGGCATCGTGCTATGTATGTCTATAGAGAAATCGAATGTGATAATGTAGTTGGGAGGCCGCCACTTTTATTCAACATTGAGCGCTAAAGCGCCGGCAAGGAAGCTAGCCCATAATTGCGCTTAGGAACGTTTCTGAGCCTATAATGTACATTTTTTTGACCTAAGCTACAGGAGGGAATGAGCGCCGGGTGGGTGAGGCAATTGAGCGCCATTTCAGGCACAGGCAAGGTCGGTTACCCCTCCTTCTCTGCACGCTAGCCCTCAGTGTTGGATGAAATCGAATCCCCTTTATAGCTAAATTTTCTAACTGCTTCGAAAAAGGAATAAGGCCCGGCCGGACGACTCGACTGGTGGATACATAGCTAAACTCAACTTGGCTCAGTGGATTCGAGACGGTGTGCGTTGTAGACATCGCAGAGTGAATTTTCAGAATTTTTTGTAGTGCTCGCCAGAAAAGAAGGCAATCACATCTTTTTTATGGGCTTTAGAGGGAAAGAAAGGCCTGGTTTAAGATCGTTGTTAGCTTTACCTGGATGGCAATACTTGCTTTATCAACATCGTTGATGTCTATAGCTTCAATTAGCATTTCCAAAATGTAAAATAAGTGGCACCGGAAAGTTTTAAGGTGATCTCTGATTTTGGATTTCGATCCTCGACTTAATTTTTTGAGAGAGTATTTTCCGATTGGTGAGTTTGACGAACGGATCTAAAAATGTCGATAATGATTCCAGAAGTACATCTGTTTTCCATAGCGAAAACTGTCTATCTCAGTAAAACATGCTCTGCTTACTCATAGTGTTGCGAGTACTATGTAGTCATTTTCAGGAAATCAAAAAAACTTCTTATTGAATGTTCTTACAGCTCTTTCTGGAAGAGAGGTGTCCACATTGAGCGTTCAGAAAGAGTCTATCTTTTTTTNTTTTTTTCTCACCAAAGTCTAGATTTTTTTCTAGAATGCTTTGAAAGTTAACATGTGATTTGTTATTAAAACATTATCCTTGTTACTATTGTGCATAACATATAAGGCTCTATCGCTACTGCGTACTGAACACCACACTCTCCGAAAAGTCTCCTCATATTGGTGAGTGCAACAAGAACCAATCCGCCTACTTCGTTACACAAGCCTATTAAAGTGTATTTCCCCATTTGAGTTTTTCCAAACGGTCATGTGTAATCATCATTCCAACGCTCCAAAACAGGGTACACGAAACTCAAGGACGAGCACGTTCTGATGATCACGCCCGGAGAGGAGTGGATATAGAAGATGAACACTTGGAATCATCGAGTCCCTTCCCTTCGAGTAACGAAAGGCTCTGCTATATCTATCGTTATCATCTACAAGGAATATGACCGACTCGAGCATCCTTTCGATATGCAAGGAGAGCAGTAAGTCTACAAGTTGCTGAGTTGTTTTCACAACCGCCACAATTGACGTCTTAATCATCCTTTCCGAAGAATCCACGATATGTTGACAGAGAATTTGAAGAAATTGCTTTGACTATGATTCGATTCGCTCCATATAAAAGTTGGAAATGCAGGTGCTTGATCGGTCGTTACCAATAAAGATATAAAGCTGTGATCGTTCGCAACAAATGCAAAGTGCTCAGTTTGTGGGAAACTAGCAAGAATAAGAAATGTTATACAGACGATGTTGGCAACGATCGCGCAATCTGCTATGTTTAATGTACAATCTTTCAATGTGGGTCAACCTCAGAAGCATTGGTAGAACACTGGTTAAAGCCATATGAGCAAGTAGGGTTTCAGACGGCGTTCAGTACATAGATGGAATCGACATTGCCACAGGACTCAGTGAAGAGTCGAAAGAATAGGGCATGGTTTCAGGTTTAATACCCTTCGGTTTGAAGAATGCTTCTCATAGCTTTGGAGAAATGCGGTAATTTTAGTGATGGGCAGCAAGAGTGTTCCGACTAAACATGTGAGCTTCGCACAAGTACACGACGAATTTTCACCATTCCACAGGTACGCAAATTTTTTCTTTAGACACTTCTCTACTTAGTAGACGTCCTCTCAATTTCTCATCAGCTATGTGAACCATACATTAGTTTCTAATACGATCCACACGTATGCGACGGTGGTTGTCAACCTTGCACTCTAATAGTTTAAATGTTATTCGTCACGTCATTTACTGCTCATTTACTGCTCGACGTCATTACTGCTTCACCTCGATCGTGTATCATTTTTTGCAGCCGTGATGATTCTTTTATTAGGTGGCATTTCGCTATATGCCACAGTAGCCCTCTTTCAGAGTAGATTGCAAAGTAATTAAACCAACAGCAGCCTGGCTTTTTCATTGGCTTTGTATTGCGCTTTCGCTCAGTTTTTCCAGTATATAGACGTGTTGTTATTCTACTCTGACTACTGTGGTATAATGTGTCGAAATTACATCATTATGAAAGAACTCCACACAGCTTTGCTTGGAAAATTAGAAGCTCTGACACAGAGAGTTTCATCAGCAGCGTGGACGCTGACGCAGTATCGCTGAGCGGCACCGATTGACGCCCGAGCGTCAGAGGCTCATGCAAGAGCGTGGCGTTTAAATGGAGAAGCATCTAATGGCTTCTGGAGAAGCATCTGATCTCCTACTAAAGAGCATTTGACGTATCATATAATAATAGCGTATGTTTCACGCGTTTCTCTGCTGAAATAGAAGTAGTCATTTAGGCGTGCCACTATGCACAGGTTTTAACTACCCACACCAACAACTATGAGTCATTCGTATCCAATAAATAAGTCGTTTCGTCAGCAGTAAAGAACTGAAGGAGTATTTTATTGTCTTGCTCACCTTTTCCATTTCCAGGATCCAATCTTTTTCCATTGGAGTATGTGAAGGGCTTAAATTGTTATCTTGAGAAATGAGGAACACTAGCTCAACTAAGCAGTTCAAAGTTTGGATCAGTCGATGAGGCTCGTCAACGGCGAATATCGCAGAATAGATACTGAAATGGATGATTGAAAAAGAAGTTTGAATGCTGACAATGTCTGCCGCGAATAGCGAAAATTCGTTCTCACTGTTCTAATACTTTCGGAAGCACTCTGCTTGGGCATAGGGCGCACAGAATCATAACTAGTTTAGCAGGAGCCTGAACCAAGGTTTGGATGTGAAAAATAAATCTAAATGTGAGTGATGCATTGGATTCGACTTGTTCTTCTCACTTTAGCCATCGCACTATCTTTCGAATACAGCGCGTAAAGCAGTGATGGTAGTATAGCCTCTGTGAATTTCATAATATCCTCGTCAGTCAAGTAGTATAACTGCGAAACCTGAATTGATTCTGTTGTGCCCCTATCATTTTTGTGTGACTACGATGTACATATATTGTCGTCTAGCATACTCGCAACCAAGGTTTTGAAAAAAATATGCAACTGAAAAAGGATGCATAGCACTACATACACAATCGTTGCGCACTTTACCCCTCGAAAATTACCTCTCTTTTTATCTTTTTTACTCTTTCTTCCCTGTATCGATTGACCATTTCTTGTAGAAGGTTTTGAAGAAACACGAGCACAAGCAATGTATGGCTGCTTTCATTTGACGGATGCATAAAGGGCTCCACCAATTTCATCATCCTCTTGAGATGATCCTGGCAACTGGAAATGAAGTAGGAGTAGACACCGCGGTGGGCAGTAGACTACATCAGATAAAGACATCTTAGGTTCTGAAAGGCCTGCTTCCTTCGAAACGAAAAAATATACTGATAATGGACCATAAAAGGCAAGAGTCACTGAGCCTCCGAAGACCTCTTTCTTAGAAGCCTGAGCTTGTGGCATTTTGGTGGGCGATGTGGAATTTCGTATTGTTGGTGACCTTTGATAACAATTTATAAGGAGTGTTAATTGCCACTAGATCTTTTCCTTATCGTATGGCAGCGGAACATTGCAACTTCAGTGTGTGACACCTGGTGTGACTGGATTGGCGATATGGATTACGACACGTTTTTAGTTTCGAACCTTTTCGGTATAAACGATATTGCCTTGACGTTTTGATATGTAGTATAGGGTGAGACGGCAAGGCAGGGTAGCCCGACAAAAAATTAGTGACAAGCGTGCCGCTGAGGACCGATTAAAGGAAGCACCTTGGGACGAAACCTCGTTTTGGTTTCTTCCTTGTTACTGAATTACGACGACTAAATTTTAAGTTTTGTGACTAATAACCACATACCACATATTATCTCCATTCTTCTGTGAGTCCTCACAGAACCACAAAGGTCCAATAGTCAATAGATTGGGAATCCTGGCCAATCTCTCTCATTTACAAAGCAGAATCTTGGTATGTCGGTTTGTAAGTTTGCCGGTGTGTCAGTCTGTCTGTCCGCAAAACTTCCGATTAGCATAAAGGTAGTGATATGGGGAACCTTGCTCTAATCTACACTTCCTTCTTATATGTAAGGCAGGAACCTGCAAGGTAGGTTGATGAAGTAGAGTGAGTACTGCGGAGTGCAGTGATGGGAAGTGGGTACTTCGAAACTGTGATTTTGATCTCAACCGGCATCGTGCTATGTGTTTTCTACAAAAATGGAGGTGACAATGGAGTTTGGAGACCTCCACTTTTCTTCAACATGATTTCAACATAAGGAGATTAGCCAATAATTGTGTTCATTAAGGTTTCATAGCCTAGAACATACAATTTTTTCGATCTGAGCTTCAGGAGGGAGGGGCACCGAGGTGGGTGAGTCAACTTAATACTCAAATTTTACCCTATCGTAGCTTTTGCACAGAGGAATCATCTCGTCCCCACTCCGCTGTTCCTCACATATTGAGGCTTAGCTTAAAACCATATTCTTTCACCTAGAACCGTTTCTGAGTACTTGTCAGGTCGGCTACCTCTCTTCTGCACTCTAGCCCTCAGAGTTGGATAAAATCAGATCCCTCCCCTCCTAACTAATTTTTCTAAGTACTTGGTGAAAGTGAGGAAAGAGGCCCGGCGTAAGCCGGGCGACCCGGCTGGTATGATATGAGACGGATACGAAAAAAATCAAATTCGGTGTGATGCCTTCTTGTTGTTGTTTTCAACGTGCAAATGCAGAGTAGACCAGGAGAGGCTCAAGTATGGAAAAGAAGAAAAAAGAAGGAGCACAAAACATGTTTTGTCATTCAGAAGAGAGAGTTTCACCAACGAAAAGGGAGGCTAGTGTTTCCTCAGCCTTCCCAGGTCAAACTCTATGCGTCACTGGCCGTCCATGCAGCTCGTATAAAAATGAAGCCGGCATTAGCCTGTATGCCCTCCTCACTTTATATTAATTCACCAATCACGAACTGTTTATGATTAATTCTTATTTCCCAGCCTTGTAGCACAAAGAACATCTTTGCATTCGTTCATAAAATCAGACTTCGTCCCACCTTTCCTTCGGGATGAAAAAAAGGTTTTCGAGCGAGTAGAGATGAGTAGAGCTCTGAAGTGACAGCGCCATTTGCGATAGTTATCTTCGAATGCTAAGAATGTTGCGGCGCTCATATACTTGTTTTTTGAGCATTTAGGAAGCATTTAGGAGGAGAGCAGGAGTTTCAGGTTGTCGTCAGCCTCCTTGATCGTGTTTTTGGCCGTCATTACTTGGGGCACCATCGCCGCTTCCACCCATTCCAAACAGGTTTGATTATGAAATTCTTCCTACCTTTCCAACTTTCAGCTTACTTCTTTGACTTCTATACCCAATGGGGACTTTTTTGTACATCCAGATATATCTTTTAAATATTGTTGTTGATTATAACAAAACAATATTGCAGAACGAAGGTTCTCCTGATGTTCGAAAAATGGGCAAATGCGAGGGTCGTCAGGATCGTCCAGAGTAAGGAAAAGACTTGAAATGGTATTCGTCAAAGTTGAATTGTGGTAGTCTTCCAGATGTCCCGTTCATATTGAGAACGGATTTTGCTCTCGTAAAGGTATCTCCGAGGAAGAAAAGTGGACCTTCTGTCCTTTCGGATGTAAATTATGCAACAAAACAGAAAGTTCGCATTGATAAAAGCTGGATGGAATGTGGCTTTGTCTTCTTTTGACTGTTTCTTTCTTGAAATTAACACCACTTTTGATCACGACATAAACAATGCCGATTTCGATAAACAGGGCCAGTTCCGAATATCTTCTGTGGAAGATTTTTGAGAATGAGTGATTTCAATAACTTGCAAAAATATGTTATCAGGGTCGGGCCTGTTCACCAGGTCAAAATCAAATTATCCTTACTATAGATAACGCGCTCGAGTCCACCTGTCTGTCACGAACCTCGATGTTACTGAAGAAACAATCGGAGAGGTCGGATCAAGTTTGGATTGGGTTGAGCATAGGGTAAGAATAACAGAACATATTTGAGATAAGCAAAGCTCAGCTTCTAAGAGGCGGGACATGCGACGAAGTCGGAGGTGCCAAGGGTGAACCTCCTCATTTGGTCCCATAATACTCCAGATCCCGAGAAGAACTCAGCAAAAGTTAAGGATGTGTCAGCGAATGAAGCAAAGGAGGCTCACAGGCACTGGTAAGTGTTCTCGCAATGGACTGTACCTTCAACATATATTCGAAACTTGGCTCAGCGAAGGCCTGGAGTCTAGTTAAAAATAAAAAAGGAGAGCGGTGCAGGCTGTGCATGCATTAATTTAGCGAGGCCCTGTCAATTATGGGCGTCGCCAGCGTTTGGCTACTTCTAAAAATAAACACAATTCTATTTAGAAACGTCCTAGATCATGGAGAAAACGTGGTTGGAGGTAATGAAACAATTGTGATCAAATTCTCGAAATGTACGGCCTTCCATAAAGATGGATGGACGAGGCTAAGTTCAAAAATCCATAACTCTGTTCAGAGTTCAGAAAGGCTGCATAATGCGGAAAATAAGTTTTTAAAGCCTGTTAGAGGAAATAAGCGTACATTATTTCAGTCAGCGGGTTTGCACTGATGGGGTGGGGCTAAGATCAAAAATTCATAACCCTAGTTAGGAGCTGCTAACAAAAGGATGGCCAGTTTCGCGAGGGGTGTGCGGTAAGGAAGGCGGAGCTACTATTGTTGAGCGCCCATGACTCTGCTAAAAAGGCTCTAGAGAACAAAAAAGGTGCACGGTTCCTGCAGAAAGAGCTATGGTCGAACCTCTAGAAAGGACGTGCTCGCACCGAGGCGGGCAGAGATAAGATCAAAAGTCCTCAAGTATGTACAACAACCACTTCAAAGTTCCAGAATCGTTCTTTGCATTGGAATGGGCAGGAGTAAAATCAGGAATTTATAACTCTGTTATAAATTCTGTTCTAGAAAAGGGTGAAAAAGGTCAGGGGCAGCTCTAAGAAGGACAATCACATTTTCACGGTAAGAGGGAACTGCACTGAGGTGGGCGGAGCTGTCATCAATACCTATAACTCTGCTCAAAACTACTAAAATCCGAAAGCAAGTGCATAGGGCTGTTGAACGAAGTATGATCAAAATCCCAAAGTGGACGAAGCCAGCATTTTAGCGGGCGGAGCTGGAATCTAAAATCACAATTTAATACTTAGTCCCTTAACGTTCAAAAACCATTCTATATCCCATATATGTGGTCGTTATCACATTATAGTTATAGAACAATTACCAGCTTACTATATGCAAAGAGTTCGCGTCTGCTGTCTGCCCGTTCGAAATTCGGTATTACCCGGTAAATTTGGTATAAGTTGGTCAATTTCGAAACGGTTGAAGCCTTGCGCAAGTTCATAATCTTCCGAAAGCCCAGGCAGCGAGAAAAGGTGGTAAATGTTAGGAATGATTTAACAACTCATAAACCACAAAGGGCTGTAGCCAGATTCTCAAGGAATGGAGATAAGATAGATAGCCCCTCATTTATGAAGCAGAAACTTGGTGTGTCGGTTTGTCGGTTTGTGTATTTGTCTGTTTGAATTTCTGTCTGTCCGAGAAATTTATGATTACGATAAAGGTTGTGATATGGGAAAACTAGCTCTATAAGGCCGTAACCTGGTGGGTAGGTTCATGGAGTAGTGAGTACTACGTAGTGAAGTGAGTGATGCGGAATGAAGTGGGTACTTTAAAACTGTGGTTTCGATCTGTACCGACATCGCAGTATGTACGTCCTTACAAAAGCGCAGGTGATAATATAGTTGGGGGACCTCTCGCTTTTCTTCAACATGATTTCAAGATAAAGAGATTAACCCATAATTGTACTCGTTAACTTTTTCTAGCCGAGAACACCCAGTTTTTTGATCTGAGCTCTAGGAGGGAAGGGGTACCGAGGTTGGTGGGTCAATTGAATATTCAACTCATA